TTCTAAACCCAGCTTATATTTCTGGTAGTTCTCTATCAGTGTACTGTTCCATTAGGATTTTGCTTGCATGTGATGAGTGCCTTTGAATTGTGGTGCTGGAGAAGAGTCTTGAGTGAAACCAAGTTTCTCCTTGGAGGCTATTTTGAAGCTCCAACTCACATACTTTGGGCATATGGCCAGGAGAGAAGGATATCATGCTTGAAAGGGTGGAGGGACAGCGCAGGAGAGGAAGACCCTGGATGAGATGGATTGATATAGTAAGTAGGGAAATAACAAAAATTTTTCTGTTGTACATTAGAAAAAGGCTAAGCTAAATTGTTTTACATTGGTAAACTGTATAATCAAGTAAGGTTTAATGCAATTATTCAGTGAGAGGGACCCTGCATCTTTGTATTAATTTTTAAATGTTTTTTGCTTGAATGTAATTTTTCATGTCACCTGCTGAGGCCCAATATATAAAATAGATGAGAGCAGTTGCTGTGTTCATCAGGCAACTCCATTGCTTAGTAGTATGCATTAATCACTTTTAGAGATCTAATAGGATATTGGGAAGTTTGGAGTGTTCAGGGAAAGCCTTTATTAATGTGGGAGTTAGTCGTGTAGGGAATCTTTGACTCTCGTCCACTAAATATACCTGTTGTTGTGCCATTGAATCGCCTGCTACTCATAGTGACCCTGGGTACAACAGCTCTGAATCCTGCTCTATCTTGAGACAAGTTTATTGTCTCTGACACACCTATTCTCATTACTCCAGTAACTGAGTCAATCCATTTCATCGAGGGTCTTCCTTTCTTGTGCTGTCTCTCCACCCTTCCAAGCATGATGACCCCCTCCAAGGACTGATCCCTCCTTGCATCATACCCAAAAGAGGACAGACGAAATTCCCTTGCGTCCAAGGAAAATCTTGGCTTTACTCTCTCTAGGATAAACCTGTTTGTTCTCCTAGCTGTCCATGGTATATTCAGTACTCTTCTCCAGCATCACAGCTCAAGGGCATCAGTTATTTTTCTATCATTCCTAGTCATTGTCCAGCTTTCTGATACATAGCAAGTAATTATGAAGACCATGGCCTGGATCAAGCACACCTTAGTCTCTAGACTGACATCATTGATCTTCAGTACTCTGGAGAGGTCCCTAACAGCAGATTTTCCAAGTGCGATTTGTCTTTTGATTTCTTGACTGCTAGTACCAAGAGTGTTGATGGTGGAGCCAAGCAAACTGAAGCTATTAACAGTCTCAATCTCTTCATGATCTGTTATGATGCTGGTACTTGGCCCAGTGATGAGAATCTTTGTTTTCTTGATGTTGAAGATATCCAAATAATTTCTGGGGAGCATTATCCTTACCAGTGAGAAACAATAATGTATAATCTCTCTAATTAGTTAAGAACTCTCTTAACAAAATAATCTTATCAAGTTACAGGCTTGTGTATCATCTGTATACCCATAAAGCAGTTTTGTTTGCACAGTGGTTTGTGCTACTACCACACACCAGTGGTGTGTGTCAAAAGGCCACACATCTCCACTAGATATGAAGCTACCAATAACTCTTTAGGAGGAAGTTGAACAGTCTCCTCCTATTAAGATTTACAGCCCCAGAAACCCAATGGAGGGTCATTATGAGTTAGGATTAACTCTGTGCTCATGAGTTCAGTGTGTTTGTTATAGACATAGGAGTCACACACTTTTATCTTGTACCCCAGCCTCGTAGAAGCAAATTTTTTTTTCATTTTTTCAAAATTTTTGACATTTTTTCCTGTGATGTCTTAATACATATAAATGGAGGGGCTTAAGTAAAATTCTAGATTACTACTCGTTTTTCTCTTCCAGTCATTCTCAACTCAGTAAAAGTTTTGCCACTGTCTATTTTATTTAAGGAAAAATCGCTGGAAGTCTGCCCCACTACCACTAAGTTGATTCAGACTGACAGACTAGAGTCACTAAAAACATTTTTCAGGACTCTTACTCATTATGGTGATAGGAAAGACTATGGCTTGAATCAGATGCTCCTTAGTCTTTAAACTTTAAATGCCATGTTGGCAAAGAGTGTTGACTATCCCATGGACTGCTAAAAGAACAGGAGAAAGTGCAACAACAGTGCTCCTTGGAGGCAATGATGGCAAAGCTTCGTCTCATATACTTTGAGCGTATTATTAGGAAAGGCTGTTCCTTGGAGAGGGACATCATGCTTGGTAAGGTGGAAGGTCAGTGGAAAAGAGGAAGACTCTCAATAAGATGGATTGAGACAATGTCTGCAGTGATGAGTGCAGGTGTGTTGGGGATGATAAAGATGGCACAGGTTAGGACAGGGTTTAGACGGAGTCTCTATGAGCCATAAACGGCACTTAACGGCAAGTCTTTATGGAAGCCGATTGCCACATCTTTTCCTCACATAGCAGAGGGTGAGACCAGTTTGCTCCCTGGAGGCAAGGATTTTGAAGCTCTGTCTCACATTATTTGGGCACGTGGTCAGGAAGGACCAGTCCTTGGAGAGGAACATGTTTGGGATGGTGGAGGGACAGTGCAGGAGAGGAAGACCCAGGATGAAATGGCTTGACTCAGTGACTAGAGCAATGGGATTAGGTCTATCAGAGACGTTGAGATAGGGCAGCTTTCAGAGCTAACGTACATACTAATGTACATAAGCTAATGTACAAACATGAGTTGCTGGTGACTTGATGGCAAATACTGGCAATAACTGTAGCAAATATACTCTTATCCTTCACATATTTGCTTGCTTGTTACTGCTTCATGGTACATACCTGTCCCACTCTTCTTGATCTGCAGACTCATTTGTCCCAGTGTGTAATTACCTTGTTTATCAGTTTACGTATTTATCTTCTTTTCTTTGCCGCCATTGGAAGATTAGCTCTTTGTCTTATTCATTGCCCTGTGTCCATATGTATATAGTATAGTAGAGTGTCTGGAAGAATGGATAAGGCACTTAGTAGATTGTTCTGGAGGTCCTCAGAAGGTCCATCCTGTCTAGCTTTGGCATGGAGGCATGTGGTGGCAGTTGTTGGTAATAAGGAATCCTTTGAGTTAACAACCCAGCACTTCACCAACTAGACCACCAGGGCTCCTTGACCATTATAGAGGTTAGGATTTATAACACATATTTTGGGAGGACACAGTTCAACCTAATAACTCACATTGTTCATATCACACCTTCAGTAAAAATGGCAATGTTGTAGAAAAGAGTGTATAGCTTTGTAGTAATATGAAAATAGTTTTAACCTCATGAACTTCCTAAAGTGCAACCAGAGCTACACTTTGAGAATCCCTGTTTTGGTATCCTGCAGTGTAAAATCTCATCGACTGCTAGTGACAGAGGACATTGGTACAATTGCTTGGAAAACAATTCAGTATCATCTACTGCTGCATCAGTATGGATGGTGAAGAGACTGAGACAGTTAACAGTTTTAGTTTACTTGGCTCCACAGTCAACGTTCTTGGTAACAGCAGCCAGGAAATCAAGAGACGAATTGCATTGGGAAAGTCAGCCGTAAGGGACCTCTCAAGAGTACTGAAGAGCAAGAACGTCAGGCATGAGACTAAGGTGTGTCTGATCCAGACTATAGTCTTCACAATCACGTGCTATGCATTGGAGAGTTGGACAGTGAATAAGGATGACAGAAAGAGAGTTGATGCCTTTGAGCTGTGGTGCTGGAGAAGAGTGTTGAATATACCATGGACTGCTAGGAGAACAAACAGTTTTGTCCTGGAGAAGGTGAAGCCGGAATGCTCCTTGGAGTCAAAGATTCTGAAGCTTCGTCTGACATACTTTGAGTATGTTGCAAGGAGGGACTTGTCCTTGGAGAGGGACATCATGTTTGGGAGAGTGGAGGGACAGTGCAGGAGAGGAAGACCCTCGATGAGATGGATCGATTCTGTGATTGGTGTGGTGGGAATGAGTGTGTTTGAGACAGCGAGGTTGGCACAGAATAGAACGGCGTTTAGGGCACAGAATAGAACAGTACATAGGGTCGCTATGAGTCGCAAGTGACTTGATGGCACATAACAATGACATCATCTACTAATATTAAAGGTATAACCTTATAATGCAGCAGTTCTACTCCAAAAGTAGACTTTTACAAGAGTATAGAAAACAGCATTAGACTGAATCGTTTCTAGCTGGAAACAACAGAGTACTGAGATTGCAATAAAATCATACAATAGAATACCTATACGTAAAAGCAAAAAAAAAGAAGGTAAACTAAATCTGTTTTCATCGAGTTGATTCTAACTCCTAGTGACCCTAAAGGAAAACATCAGTAATACTCTATAGGATTTTCAAGGTTATAAGCTTTATAGAAGGAAGCTCTGGCCACATAGACATGGAGAGAGTTGCTCACCCAACAGTAGTGTCTCTTTGTTTCTTTATCGGTTCAAATATACCAGTAGCTCCTTGGGAGAAAGATGGGCAATCTCCTCATGAGTGATTTACAACTTTGAAAATCCAATAGTGGATCCACCATTAGTCAGTTCCAACTTTACAACAATCAGCATATACGAGCGGACTGCCCCATATTCTCACCCAGAGTGGTGGGTAGATTTAAATCACTCAAACATTTTGGTTTGCAGCCAACCATTTAACCACTACAGTACAAGGATTTCCTATACTTGATCTACAGCAACAAACATGAATAAGGTATGACCCACAACAATATGGAGATGTCTTACTTGGATATGGATATTTACTATATATTTTCAGAAACAAAAAGTAATAGAAAAATTTAACCATCTGGATAACAGTTATTTTGGGGAGAAAATAGGAGTTAGCTATTTAGGAGGGACATGAAAGGTCTTGATTTTAGCAGTTTCCAGCCAGGCATTTTTCTCACTTAAATGTGGACTGAGAACTCTCTTTACTTTCATGAGAAAGACCTGTCCTCACACAGTTTTAATTGCATTGTGATTTTGAGTGTGGCAAGTATATGGGCATAAAAAGCAAACCAACGAGTAATGGCTCTTTTAATGGCTTCTCTTCTTTACTTACAGGCTTCAAGCAAAATGAAAACACCTGAAGAGAATTTCTTCAATGTTCCTGCTTTCTTAACAGTCTCAGGACAACTTCATCTAGAAGTAATGTCAGGGTACAGAATTTTTCTTTTCTCTTTCGCTTTAGTGAACTATTGATTTTGTTTTGGATGAGAGTGAAATAGAACTTCCCTTTCCAATGCTCAAACTAAAAAAAATTAATACTCCTCTTTTTTTATTATCCCATGCAAAAAGTGCATTTAAATCAACAATTTGAAAATATCCAAGTTTATTACTATAAAATCTTATTAGGATATACTTTATCTTTAATGGGAAATGGAACACTGAAAAGATAAGATCTCAAACTCATAATTAAGATTTAAACCTAGTCGTGTTTATTAAAGTAAAGGCAAGTTGCTTGTTGACAGCTGAATGAAGTATTAGCCCATTTCATTAAAAAAATAAAATAATAGAAAAGCAGGAAGACAGGTACCCAGAATAATGCATGGAAGGATTTGTTTGTTTCATTTTAGTTAGTTTACAAAAAATAAAATTAGCCGTAGAGCTATCATGAAAGAGAAACTCTGAAGTCTTAGAGTCTGAGCATAGGAACCCTAGCCCAGTCAGGGCTCTGGCACCACTATTTGAGTCTATCTCCTTTTTTTTAAAATAAGAGATTAAACAGATCGTAAGGTCCTACCTGATGTTCTGTAATTTTTGTGAGTTATTCACTGCTGATTCCACAAGTCCCAAAAAAACCCCTCATTGCTGTTAAGTCAGAACTGACTGACAGCTGACCCTTCAGCAGGTTTCAGAGACTATAAATTGCACAGGAGATGACCCTTCTTTCTCCTGTGTAGCAGCTGGTAGATTTGATCCACCTGCCTTTCGATTTGTAGCACAACTTCCTGAGCCACTAAGCCTCCAGAGCTCACCTGTACTGTTTCTTTTAAATATCTATGTTTTCTCATAGCGTGACTAGGGAATCTTAAAAGTCTCTTCAGGGATTAATTTGACCAAAAAGAAAGGAAACTTTATGTGATTTTGATTTAAAAAAAACAACACAAATAAGAAAAAAAACAAGAGGAAAATAGAATAATTTATGTATTTCTTTTTATACATACTTTGTAGGCAGGGCAAAATTTAGTGGTGGTATAAAGATGGTCTCAAAAAAAGTATGAGATTTTTTAAAATTAACAAACTATATTTAGAGTCTTCTGGTTTGTGTTTGAGACAGAATAGTGTTTTTTGCTAATTGCAATTGTGAATTAAGCAACATGTTAGATTAGAGGATTTACAAAACTAAATATCATAAAAACCACTTCAGGCATGTCATGAAATGTTTCTTATGCCTATCAAAAGATGATTTAAAAAATTAAAAGCATGTCTCACACATATCTGAAAAGAACAGATGTCAGAGATTTTTTTTTTTT